AGCTGAGTAATGGTCCCTCTGCCGCTGGGTGATGGTAAACAGTGCCGAGCGAGGGAGCGGCTGTCTTGTCTGTCACTGTCTGCAGTCTCGCACAGTCACACCCAACAGTCTGACACGGAGCTCCAGCCCCTCCGCTCCGGTTCAGCCCTGCTCACCCTGACCCCTGCCGCCCCCACCTGGGGAGTGAGACTTCAAACAGGTTTCCCCCTTCAGTTTACCATGTTGCCTAGCAACCAGCCAGTCAATGGCACGAAGCCCCACCCCCACTCACTTGACTTCACACCAAGCTGAGCGGCCCAATTGGCTACCCCCATTGACTTCCCCGTAGCCCTACCTCTCCAACCCCATCAGAAACAGTATGCCAGTGCCCACTGCCGCTGGGCAAGGGAACCCACTAGCCGCCCCCTCCCTGCCCCCACTGCCATCATTCGCCCCACCCCCCAGAGACACACAGAATCTAGTATTATATCAAATCTGTTTTATATAAACTCAATCCCACCTCCCTCAGGCCCCCCCTGTCCCCTGTCCTGGTGACCCTCGGGAGTGCCGGCTTCTGGGTTCTCTTCTGGGTTCTCGCCACACCACCAGAGCTGAAGCTGGCTTTCCAGGTGGGCATGGCGCAGGGAGAGCAGGGGACGGTCCACCTCTTGCTCCCCTTCGTCCCCGCTCTCCGTGGGTTCTGGAAACACCCGCTGACCGGAGGCAGTGGCCAGCAGAGGCAGGCTGGGGTGCAGGCTGAAGAGAAAGGCAGGCAGGGGGGGGGTCTGTCAGCACCCGGAGGGCCCAGCTCGCTCCCTCCTCAACCCACACCCTCAGATCTGCAGGAGGAGGCTGAGGACCTCACGCCATTGGTGCAGTCCCTTTGGGGCAGAAAGCTCAGCACTGGCTCCAGCGTCCCCTTGTCCTCTGCAGCCGCATGGAGGTCCCACACGGAGACAGCCCCGCTGGTAGTGCCACTCACGAGGAACTGCCCGGTCCTGGGAGAGAGGAGACCTGGTCTAGGGCTCGGGCCTGAAGGCATCACCCGTGGGGCAGGAACCCTGCACCCGTGGCCGGGACCCTGGAGCTGGGCTCGGGCATTCCTTGGGGGCACTGGTCCTGGGTGGGGTTGAATCAAGGCCACTCACGGGTCCAGGTCAAAGTAGATGCGCTGATTGGTGGCCACCTCCCGTCTCAGGGACCACAGTGGGTGACTAGGCTGCCGGAGATCCCAGGTCAGGAGCTCAGCACTCTGAGGACACAGAACGAGGGCCTGGAATCCTCCCCCTTCCGCTGGACAGCCTCGCTTCCCTTCGTGGCCGATAGCCACTTTGGTGGTTGAGGTCGATTTCCCCAGCCCTGGTCCCCCAGCATCTCCCAGACTACACCTCCACGCTCGCCCAACTGCCCACTGATCTCAGGACGATCCCTCCTACCTTCCGGGCTCCTGAGAAGAGCAAGTTGCCATCAGGGTGAAAGGAGAGGTGGGTGATACCCCCCTGGTGTCCCCTGAGCAAGGCGAGAGGGGAGCCGTCATCCCAAGCGTACAGACCCAGGGTGCGGCCATAGGAGCCACAGGCGTAGAGGGGCTGTGCGGGGCTGAAGGCGATGCAAGAGATGATGCCACTCTGGCCCTGCTTCTTCACTGCGAGGGAGGAAACAAGGGGGTGCAGAGAAGGCCGTGGCGTTACCCAGGCCAATGAGAGGTGCCTCTCTGTCTTCTGTCCCCGAAAGATGAGCCCAGTCTCAAAGTCTCCTTACCCCAGTCACCACCAGTAGGACAGAGACCTCTGATAATCCCCAGATCCTCCCGTGCCCTCTCGAAGACCCAAATGCCCACACCCTGCATCCTCCCTTTCGAATCCCAGTTTTCCCAATCCCAGCATTGGCAGGAAGCTGAGGACGACAGGAAAGTGAAGCCTGTTCCCTTCAGGGTTTCCAGAGACGCTAAGATGTTGGAGGCCAAAAAGGGCAGCGGCCCAGCTCTGCCACCAGCTGGTGGGCCCAGGCGCAGTCTTCCCCTCTCTGCCACAGCGGTTTTCTGCTCTGCCCACTACGCATCAAATTGCCACCCAGTGCCCAGATGGTCCCTGGGCCAGTGGCGGTTCCCTTCCCTCCCTTGGAGGCACAGAGGATTACCGAATGTGGGCCGGACCTCGCAGTCTCGGCCGGGCCGGGTCGTACAGAAGATGCGCACAGTCCGGTTGAAGCCACAGAAGAGCTGGGAGCCATCCAGGGAGAAGCAGAGTGAGTGGGCTGCCATCAGTTCATCCTAGGAGGGGCGGGGCAGGAAAGGGCTGAAAACTCCAGCCCCATCCCCAGCCCCCTCCCCCCACCCTGTAGTCAAGGAAGGAAAACTGGGCCAGGAGGGGAGCTGGGCCCTTCCGCATCAGGCTGGCAGGTCCCTACCAAGTGGTTGTAGGCTCGAAAAGAAGCCCGGAGCTCCCCAGTGAAGGCATCCCAGATGTGAACTGGGTTCTCTCGGCTGCTGCTGGCTACACTGAGAGAGACACCATACTGAGGCCCCAGTGCTGTCAAAGGAAGGGGAGGAAGCCAACTGACCAGCCCCCCGAAGGGTACCCCAGCCTCCCTCCCCTCGTGTGCGTCCCCTGGCTGGTCCTGATGGTCCCTTTGGAGCTATAAGGTGCCCAAAGGGCATCACTTACTAGGAAGTGTCTGGCTGGGCTGAAGACATCAGAGAATACCAGCAGTAATCATAGATGGTATCGCCTTCCTCCATTCGAAGGACGGGAGCCTAGACAAAGATGGGGGGTGCTTACGTCACTCCCAGGGAAAAGGATTCAGAGCTGCACGTCCCCAGAGGTTTTATGGCAGAGGGGGACACTCCAGGCATCTAACCAGGAAGGAGATGGCAGGTGGGGTAAGTATAAAGAACAGAATCTGTGCTGGATTGTTGACACGTCAACTCACAGGTAGGCTACCAAAAGCCACACAGATCCACCGTTTTTCTTTTGAAGCAGGAAGAGACAAGGACAAGGAACCAACCCATGAAACAAGTATTCACCAAGCACTGAAGTCAGTACTACTGAACCCTTTGAGAACTCACTCAACAGTTAAAACAAACGGAGTATTTAAACACACACACACACATACACACACACAAAACCTTCCATCTAGCTTGAGAAATAAAATATGAGGCGGTAACAAAAAAAAAAACAAAAACAGATTTTTTTCCCCAAGCTATGCATTTAAGTTTTTGTTTTTTTAAACAAAACAACCCTATCACCTTCAAAGTACTCTCCATGACACTTCATATATTTGTCACCTCTTCTGTGTCACTGAATCGCCTCCCACATGCAATCTACTGTGTAATCCTCACTCTGGGTCCTAAACCAAATCACTTCTGAGAGATTAAAAGACCAAAACAGACATGGGGACAGATACATAGGGGTAGCAAAAGCCCAAACTCCAAGAATGCCCAGGGTTACCAGGAGGAAGGGGCTGCTGTGCCTGAGGCTGATTTGGACATTCAGTCCCCAGAACTGTGAGAAAAGCAATTTCTAGATGAAAGACTGGAAGTCCTAACAGGCCCCTAGGGGTCCCTGGAAGACACGCTGGGGATCTGCTTCTAAAAGGTCATAGCCCTGAAAACCCTATGAAGTCCAGGCAGCTGATGTAACTGCTGCCAAAAGGTTATACACCTGTGAAAATAGGAAGTAACGAAAAGTTGTGACAGATAGATTTACAACAATAGCAACAGAAGCAGAGCGGCTGCTCGTGGGATTCGGTTTCTTGGTTTGAGACTAAGGACCACAGTTTGGAAAAAACGAACCTCAGCACTGCCTGGGGTTTCAAACGCTTGCCAGGGCCATTCAAAGCATACCAATTGGTTTTAATTAATCTGCCTGATGTAAGAGAGAGAGGAGGAGGAGTCAGGGATGTGAAGGTGTGGCTAACTGCTTCTGGTAACAACTCCTTTGCCTGGGAGACTACAACTGGAAGATGCCTGGCCTACATTACAGAACATTTAGATCAGCGGCTCTCAACCTGGGGGTCGTGACCCGCAAACAACCCTTTCACAGGGGTCGCCTAAGACCATCAGAAAACGCGTATCTCCATTGATCTTAGGAACCGAGCCACGGCTCCTCTATCCGTCTCCAGGCGGGTCCGCCCACATGCAGATACGCATGCCCACATATGAGTACCCGCGTGAAGACTGTTACTCATGCTACACCATGCTTCAAGACAAAATTTCATTGATTTGTAATTAGAAATAAATATTTCACAATATATAATTACATAAAGTAAAAAAGATTTACAGCTTCAGAAACCCTAAAAAATAATATATAATTACATATTGCTTTTGTGATTAATCACTATGCTTTAATTATGTTCAATTGGTAACAATGAAAATACATCCTGCATATATTTACATGAAGACTCATAAAAGTAGCAAAATGACAGTTATGAAGTAACAATGAAAATGTCATGGTTGGTGGACACTGGTACAGAGAGGAACTGGAGATACAAGGAACCCAGGGCGGATGATCCCTACAGGACCAGTGGTGTGAGTGGCTAAACAGTGAGGGTGGAGGGAGAGTGGGTAGGAAAGGGAACCGATTACAGGGAACTATATGTGACCTCCTCCCTGGGGGACAGACAACCAAGGAGTGGGTGGAGGGAGACGTCGGACAGGGCAAGATATGACAAAATAACAATTTATAAACTATCAAGGGCTTATGAGGGAGGGGGGAGCAGGGAGGGAGGGGAAAAATGAGGACCTGGTGTCGGGGGCTTGAGTGGAGAGGAAATGTTTTGAGAAGGATGAGGGCAATGAATGTACAAATGCGCTTGACACAGTTGATGTATGTGTGGATTGTGATGAGAGTTGTATGAGCCCCTAATAAAATGATTTAAAAAGAGAAAAAGAAAATGTTATGGTGGGGGGTCCCCACGACCTGAGGAACTGTATTAAAGGGCCTCGGCATTTGGAAGATTGAGAACCACTGATTAAGAATCCTAGTTGAAAGAGGGAAAATGCGGAACAGAATTTCAAATTCTCTTAGAATCCAGACCTTCTGGAACCACGGAGACTAGATGAACCCTTCGTTTCTGCTGGAGTCAAATGACTGGGCTTTGCGTGCGGTATACACTTTACTAGGCAATGTCAGACCTTTCTCAAAAGTCCTTATCTCAACGTGACCTGCCGGCTGCTCTGTCCACTCTGGGCGTCACTGGATTTTTAATCTATCTCAAACTGAAGGATCTACGATGGTATTTCATTAGGATATCATTTGTATTTCCCACATCACTAGTGAGAGAGAGTAAGCATTTTTTCTGGATGTCTCTGTAGGAGCCCTGGTGGTGGAATGGGTGGCGTGGTGACACTTCGGGCTGCGATCCTCATGGTCAGCGGTTGGAAACCACCGCCAGCTCCCAGGGAGAAAGACGGTCTTCCCTCCTGTAAACAAGGACAGGGTCAGACACGCACTGGGGCTCCTGAGTCAGCAGACTCGATGGCAGGGAGCTGAGTTCCTAGTTACACTCAGGTACACCTTTTTCTAATCTTTGCCCGTATCCCTACTGGATTGTTGATCTTTTGCTTACAAAAGATTTTAAAATGATGTGAATCCCAATCTTTAGTCAGTTATGTGTGGTAGCCCCTGTATTCCTTACCTTGTCTCCTCTGGCCTGGGGGGCGGCTCCACTTAGGTGTCCCCAGGCGCCCGGACCTCAACCTGTCCTTTGACAACTCAAACACGCTGCTCCTCCCGGGCTCCAGACCCAGTGTTCAAACCTGGGACCTGAGTCCCGGCTTCAACTTAATATTCTTCACCTCCCGGGTCCAATTAACTCAATACCAAGTCTTGCCAACTCCGTTAAGTGCCTTAGATTAAGATCCTGCCTTCTTGTACGCATTTCTGCAAGTCTCTACACATTTGGGGGGCCTCCCTGCTCCCCAACGCTCTGATCTGCCCGTGTTCCCCACAGGAAGGCCCCAGAGACCTGGTTGGCGGGGAAAGCCATGCGGTGGGCTCTCCTGCGGACGTCAGCCCAGTGACTCCCCAGAACTCTCAGTCCCCTCTCTACCAACCTCCCGAGGCTCATTCATTTCTCTACTCGCTTCCTGAAGACCTCTACTCCCCGTGCCAACTCAACCTGCCGCTTTCCACACGGACTAGTCTTCCGATCGATCGGGAATACCTTCCCTTCAGTTCCCCAGCAACCCCTGGTGCCGTCCTAACTATCTCACAGGTCTCGGACACGCCTCTCGGCCAGCGAAGCCTTCCAGACCTCTTTGCTGAGAAGGCGCCCTGCCAGGTACTCCTGCCGCCCTCCGTGCCACTCACCGCCCAGTGTTTACTCAACAGTCAGTGACTATTTTTTTAATGAACAAATGGTGATCGGAGACTGTTTCAGGAACCTAAGGCCCCCAATAAGAGTACCTTCCACAGAAGGAGAGACAGTGGAACCGAGAAGCGTGGGCGATTAGAAAGATTTGGTGGCCCAGGCTGGGATATAGAAATTAATTGGGTATGGAGGGTCAGGGGAAAGATTAAACGATGAGACCCTGGCTCGGATATCTGAGGTTACCAATATGGAAGCACTTGGGGTCCAAAGGGGAGGCTGGCTATCAGGGGGCCAAAGTGTTTAGGTAAGTGAAGGGAATCGATGGCATGGACTCAAGGGGAGAGTTTTCACACGCGGTCCGGACGTAGCATTTCATTATGGGGACAGCCCTCCCTCCCAGCATGAGACAGGAAGAGCCCACAGGGGCCAAGGCCAAGGACCAGAGGGAAGGAAAGCCCTCTAGTGGCTAGAGGGTCGGGTCGGCACTCAGGGGGAAGACGAAGAGCTGGGGAGGCAGGAGGAGAGTCCGTGCACAGGATCACGGTTTATTCGTGCTTACCAGAGGTGGAAGGGAGGGAGAGCGGCAGAGCCTCAGCTGAGGGCACCAGGTGTTCCTTAACGGGGATGGCATCACTTGGGAAGACAGAGAGGTGACAGTTGCACATCATGAACAGAAGCGACGTCACTGAATTGTGTGCATGTGAAAGAAGCTGAATGGGTAAATGCTCACTGTACTACCCTGTTTCCCCCCAAATAAGACAGTGTCTTATATTGATTTTTGCTCCCAAAGATGCGCTAGGTCTTATTTTCAAGAGATGTCTTATTTTTCCACGAAGAAGACTACGGTACACATTTATTGTTTTATTAAAAGAGACCTCGTACTTCCTGTCTGCCCCGGCTGTGCTGCGGCCAACAATGAGCTGCTGCGCAGAGGCACCCTCCGCTACAGTCCAGAATCCACAGTTACGGTAGCTTTGAGGGGACTTATTTTCAGGGAGGTCTTATTTTCGGGGGATGTCTTACTTTCGGGGAAACGGTACTGTACATAACTACATAATTGAAATGATACGATTCACACAATGGGTAAGAAGTAAGACCGGCGAGGGACTGACGCATCTGACTTGGGCCGCTGGTGAAGACGACTGCAGGACTGTGGCCGGCCACCAGGAGGACCCGTCTGTCTGGGAGAGGCACAGCCAGGGTGCTCCTTAGAAGCAAGGATGGTGAGACTTGGTCTCACTTACTTTGAACGCATTGTCAGCAAGGATGAGTCCCTGGAAAAGGACATCACGCGTGGCACGGTAGGGGGGCAGCACAAAAGGAAGACCTCGATGGCATGGGCTGGCACACAGTAGCAGCAACAGGCCCAAGCGTAGCACTGCTTGTGAGGATGGCACAGCGGGGGCAGGGCTTCGGTCAGAGGGTGGCGCATTCAGAGTCTAC